TTTATTGTTTCACATTGCGTTCTGCACTAAACAGACCAGACTATTTAAAACTACATGATCCTGTCTGATTTAGCTGCCTCAAGCTTTCATCTTTCACACATGAGGGGATTTTGTTTTAATAACAACTACTTAAATTTGTTCCATCCGATTCAATACTCACGTTTGTTTTCAGCTTTACTTCATTTTCCCTGCAAATTCACTAAAAGGTGGATCTTGAATTAACAAATATTTTCTTTCAAACATTTCAAATTGGAAAATGTGTGTGGAAAAGGTTCTGATGTTAAAACTACTCTCTTCACATTTATTTTGTAATTAAATTATCGTAGACAAACAAGCTACCGCTAATAAAATATCTCCAAACCATTTGGTGTGAAATTAGCAACACGCAGTCATATGTTACCGTCGAAATGAGTCTGCTGAGGTGGTTTGAGCATCTTATTAGGATGCATCCTGGGCGCGTCCCTGTGGAGGTTTTCTCGGGGTGGACCCAGAAATCGTTAGAGGCATATTTGATCCTTTCTAGTCTGGGGACACCCACCCACAGGAGAAGCTGAGAGGGTCTCTGGGGAAAATGGTGTCCAATACTTGTTGTTTCGATGACTCAACTATGGGTGGGTGCATGGATAGATGGATGGACGGATGATGGATGGATGGATTGGTTATTTTGTTAAAAGTTGTCCAACTTTGTGATTCCACACACTATAAATCTACCATAATTGATGCAAAGTGGAACACTTGGGTTCTGCTGTTTAGTTTTTTGTGCTCTTTAGCATGAAACAGTATATTAAGGGATGTTTTACAAGTTCTAAAGTGATATAACTAAAAGTTATGGTCAACTGAGCCAGTCCCAACAGTGAGCTTTGTCAAGATGGAGGGGGGTAATTTTAGTACAGAGGAAGTGCCTATCTCGTAAGCTTTTACTGAAAGCTGCTTCCACAACCATAAACATTTGATAAAATAAGATTATACTTTTTTTTTTTTTTTTAAGAACTTGAGTTTTATTATATTCAGGGCTTAATTTGTAAACCGGTTAATGCCGGAACACAAATAGCAGGCCGGGGGGTCCTCCCCCAGAAAATTTGGAGTAAAAGAGATGCCATTTCCTGCATTTTGGTGTATTTTAACAGGTTGTTAAACATCTGTAAACATTTGATTAAACTGATTAAGAACAGCTCTGTCTTGTAAATGAGTCCTCGAGGCTCAATGAGACTATTCGGTATAAATAAAGGTTGAATTGAAATGACTATTTTAGAGAGCAACAACAACAAGCCTGTGTGTGAATGGAGCAGCGCTGATTCTGTCAAGCTTCCCGACATCCCCGCACCCACCCAGACACACACACACTCACTGCGCGTTGTTCTGCTCCAATCTCGATTACCGTTGCCTTCAAGTGCTTCAATTCTCAGTTGTCCAGTTAAGGACAATCCATCCATCTTTTTCCAACAATTTTCCATCAGGTCATCTGGACAGTTTCTTTTTTTTGTTTTCTGAAACGTTTCACCTTCCATCCAGAAGGCTTCATCAGTCAAGGAAACACACAACACAAAACTGATTCTTCCGCCAAACAGCTTACTCCAAAGTGGAACAAACCAGTTATGCTGGTGCTAAGATGGTGTCTTTGGCACGCCCCCTCCTCTTGTGCCAGCCCTCTTCCTCGTTGACAGTCACGTCAAACTGGTTCAAATTCAAAAAAGTTCATGCTCAATAATCCATTTTTATTCATCCATCCTTTTATTTTAGATAATAAATTGGACCGTCTTTTCTAAATTTTGATCGCTGTTATTTGACAAATTAGTGCCGTTGTTTTATATATATTTTTAATAAATAATCAAAATAAAAATGTGCAATGACTTTGAACTTTTAGGGGCGGAGATTTGAGTTGCCGGATTTGAGCAAACAGTTGCCGGAACACAGCCGGTCAAAATGAGAGAGTTGTTCCGGCAGGATCCGGCTCAAATTACACACTGATTATATCATATTTATTTCATTATCTTGCTATTAATCAACAAACTTTCACCAAGATATGTTTCCCTCCACTCATTGTTCTACACTTCCTGTAATATAAAGGCACTGAAGGAGTCATATATGTATGTACTTTGTATCTATATCTATTTATATCTACTGTATCGCTTTCTCTCTCTCTCTCTCTCTCTCTCTCTCTCTCTTTATATATATATATATATATATATATATATATATATATATACATATATATATATATATATATATATATATATGGTACTTATGTATCTATGTGTATACGTAATACAACATGACATTGTAAAACCAAGCTGAAAGAGATTCCTGCCTCGTACTTGTGACACATTCAGTTTGTTTAATAAGGTTTCATATTAAAATGTGTGCTCAACACAAATTATGTAGAGCAGCGCCTCAGTGTGCACCAACACACACACTCTTAGTGAAACTGCACACTGCCAGGTTCCATTTGATCCTAACGTCAGCTCCATGTGGTGAACTGGTAACCAAGGGCATGTCTCTTTGTTCGTTGCTCCTGCCTCGACTCTGTCTTCTTTTAGTTCGTGACTTGGAAACACCCCTGTAGCACCTCAGCACTCATTAGACCAACAGCGGGACCAGAATTCCTTCTTTTTTTTTTTTTGCTTCGCCTTTTACAACTGATTTGTAACGCTTCAAGGAAACAGCAGAAGAAAGATGTAAACTCCTCGACAGAGTGAATTTGGTACCTGAAGGTGCACAGATAGCTCTGTTGTGATGGTGCCATGCCAAACAGCCTGGAGCTGTTTGCAACTACAAACCTTCCACAAAGAAAGGCCTGTTGTCAGGGTGCATCCTCAAAAGCTGTTAGTCATTACACTAACGTTCAACTTGAGCTGTGTACATCAGAGCATAGAGAAAATGATGGCAATAGACCAATAGCAGGAGTCATCTGCAGGACACATTCACAGAGAATTATGAGCCAGGTCTGCAGTCCCCTTCAGGCTTGTTGGGCATTTTAGCAAGTTGCTGGTGATATGGTCTGCAGCTTTAGTCTTTCATTTTCCTCCCAGAGGTCTCATTAAACAAATTTGCAGTAGCTGTGCATATAGGTTTCAGGAAGGGAAAGGGTTTTAATATTTTATATGCATAAACAATGAAAATAAAGGTACTTGGCATTTAAATTCATTAATGTGGTGTCTTTTAGCCTCTTTAAACCAAACATTCAGGAGACAGTGTGCTTTAATCACTTTAAATGGCAGGTATAGTTCAAACTTATTTAATAAAAGAAATCTAAACCTAACATGCAAAACTCCCAGAAATGGGAAGCAGTCATGGCGTTTTTCTAATGCTGTTTTCTGTGTGGATACAAGTTAGAATTTTAATAAATGTCTAACACTCTTTGTATTGTATAAATAAGTAGATGCTGTAGTGGGATGTAACAAAGTACAAGTACTTTGTTACTGTACTTAAGTACATTTTTCATGCATCTGTACTTTACTTTTGTAGAGTTAAACGCATGTACTTTTGACTTTTACTCCACTACATTTTACATTAAGTATCTGTGCTTTCTACTACACTACATTTCTATAATGCTTTGCATTACAAGTTACATCCACATTGCGTTTTTTTTTTATTTGTTCTTTAGTTTTAAAGTAACCAATGGTGAGAGGGGAGTTGGTCCATTGAATCCCTGCAAAGTGGGCAGGTAACGTTAGACCCACCTTCAAGAAGAGCTGGACCAATGACGTATATTCTAGTATATATGTCATTGATCTGGACGCACCCACAGTACCACTAACACACCCAAACTGGATTCCACCGCAGAGAGTCAGCCAGAAGATGCACACCACCCATGGCCTTAATGAAAGATTATTCAGTACAGCAGGACAGATTCTCTCTTCCAAAAGAGCCAGATTGGACTCAAAAAACGTTGAAATCCAACTTCTTCTGAACTTGAACAAGAAATTCTTGCTGCAATATTAAAATGTGTCAGTTCATTAGATGTTAGGAGACGAGAGATTTCTCCAAATGACTCGACACTCGGGTCCAAGTTTTGAAAACGGTGTCAGGAAGTTAAAATATTGTTCAATATTGATCCATTAAAAGGTTGATGGACAGTATTTTAACTAGAGTTGATGACAAACTGGAGTTGAAATGAGCAGATATTCCTTTGTTAGTTGTGTCTAATGCTCCTTTTTTCAGGCAGACAACTTTTACTACAATGTGTTTACTGCAGTTAAAATGACACGTTGGTTTTGTTTGTGTTAAATAAAAACTTTCAAAGGTATAATCATTCCTCTTATTTTGCTTAACGACATTTAACTCTGCAGGTCATCGCTGAAATTCTGACGCACAGAATCACAAGTCCAAGTGTGAACTGTGTCACAGAGTAAACACAATAAAAACATGAATTATCTGCAGCATTGTTCATTAAAATGACTCAACACTATTAATATATTACAGAAAATATACATACGGTAGGCACACTTAATGATACTGTAGACAATTGCATTAGGTAATACATACAACAAGTATTAATACTTTAAGTATTTTTAAAAGCAAGTATTTACTTACTTTTCCTTAAGTAAAAATGTTAATGTGATACTTCTACTTTTACTAGAATACATTTTTGTCTGTTTATTTGTTCTTTTACTTAAGTACAGAGTTGAGTACTTTCTCCACCACTGACGGTGCAGTTAGCATTAATGGTTCTGCAAACAGAGTTTCTGTCCCAGATGGTTTTGGATTTGAAGAAAAATATCTAACGCTTTAGGCTAAAACCATCTGGCTTCTGATTTCTTCTTGAACGTATACAGTGCATACAGTTTCCAAACTGATGTGATGAAATCAGTTCAGGTGCAAAACTGGAAATTATGAAGTCACCTTGTTTTATTTCATACCTCTGTGTAAACCCCAAGTTTTAATTTTTTGTGATAATTTTGCTATCAATCTATTGATCCAGCAGGCGATTACAGAGAAGCAAATTTATTAAACTTTTAAATATATAACCCCGTTTTGTTTCTTTTGTCATCACCATGCAGACTGTATGGAGAGCTCACAAACTGCACGTACCTGGTGGCGCTGAACATGGGGTGCTACTGGCCCAACCGAATGGTGGACGAGTTCTTCATCCGAGTCCACAGGCACTACTTCCACGACTGCTCGCTGTCTGGACGACTTCTCAGGGACCCTCCAAACCGCATCCTGGGTCCTTTCATTGTTGTCCCCATCCTGGTCACCCTCCTGATGACAGCCCTGGTAGTGTGGAGGAGCAAACGCAGTGAGGGGATTGTGTAGTAAAGGGAAGCAAAGGGGTTGGGGTCACAAGACTCAGGATAAGAGATACTTTTTGTCTCCAAGTTCTCACAAAAAAGACCAAAAGATCCCGTCTTCTGAGTGTCAATGGAAAACAAGACATTTGGACTTGGAGGAAAATGACTTTAACTTATATCTTACCTCAGTGAACAAGAGTAAAGCCATTATTTAATGATAATCTTCATGGACTGGGTTCATAGCGCACTTCTTTCTGCCGTTTTGACCTGACTCGAGTCTGGACCAGAATAACGACTGGTGAAGCGACACTGTAAATAAAGATGAAATGTAATGGGTGAACCTGCTGGCTAAAGATTCAGATTATTACGGCAAAACTCGTACTCTTTTAACAGCTGTCTCTGAGAACGAGGAAAATATACATTTCTACAGGAAACTCAACAATAAGCTCACACCTCCAGAGAACCCACGGACATGTGTACATACAGTACAGTATACCAGAAATATGCACAGTATGTATATTTTTGTGATTTTACATGTTGCTTTTGTTCATGTCTACTATATGTATATTTAAAAAGGATTCAGAATCATGACCCTCATAGCAGAATTATGAATAATGAGCTCTAAAATTGACACAACAACCATCCAGATGTTCAGTTCAGGTAAGAGAAAGCACAGTTTTGAACAGTTGGTCAATCTGCAGCTGTAGTGGCACAAATTATTGTATTCTGAAAACTTTGATCATGCATCAGCATAAGTAAAAACAGAAATGATAACAAAGAAAAAAAATCACTTATAAAAACACAACTCGAGCTACAATGGAGACCTACTGTAAGTTAGCCAACGCACAATGCTGCTGAGCATTGCCATCGCCCAAAGCACAGTTTGAACATCACGGACCTCGAGTTTCTATTGATTCATCATTTCCCAGTGTAGTAGAGTTGCCGTATGAACTGCTCCTTCATTGATATTTCTGAATGCTCTCTTTCCTTTATAGATTCATTGACCTGTAACCTGCCTGTCAGCAAAACACACTTTAAACTACACCCACACTTTGTACTTTGTGCCAAAAGCTCGTGAAGAGAGAGCAATGTGTGTTATCTTTATTTTCTTTATTTTATTTTATTTTGTTGTTGGATTGATTGTTACTCATTGATTTTGAAATCTGTGATCATGAAGGAATGTAAAATAAAATGTCTGAATTATGTGTTTAATATACTCAGCCTTGAAAATCTCTTATAAGATGAAAAAAATCAGGGCTTTTCATTGGGTGAAATAATTATGAGTCCAAAATGTATTTCTGTGTGCACTGAATCACAACAAATGTTCTTCTAGAAAGTAACTAAAGCTGCAGCAAATGTGTAGATTTATATTCCTCATCTGTGAAGTCCCACTCAGTTCTCAACCACTGTTTTTACAGATAGATTCTAATTACGTGTATCTTAAATCATCCGAGTAAGAGTCCGAGATTCTTTATTGTCATTCACACCACATGTGGTGGAACACAATTGTGTACACAGGGTCCCAGTTACATTCAACAATAAAAATGTAATAAAAAAAAAACTGTAATAAGATCTAAGATATGAACTAAGAAAAACATCAACTAAAAATATGCTAAGCACTAATAACAAAAACAATACGCCGAACAGCAGCACGAACATGAGTCTGTGTGAGCAGATGAGTACCTGTATATTGAGTAGATATACTCAATATAGTACAATTTTTTACTAAAAAAAATACCACTCAGCACCACTGAAAAATAAAAATATAGTAAAAATGTTAAATATAGTAGAACAGATGAGTACAGATGAGATATTTTCAAGTCCAGTCTTCACCAAGTTCCTGTTTGTCTCACAGCAGCCAAGTCCAGGACTGTGAGCACCAAGTCATGAGTTTTAAACACATCATCTCACTGTAGTGTTTTAATTGTATCAACTGTAATCAAAGTTCATGCTCAACAATAGAGGTAAAAAAAATATATATTTTTAAAGTTACATCAGGTCCTCTGGACAGTTTCTTTGTGTTGAAACACTTCGTCTTTTATCCAAAGGACTTCATCAGTCCAAGGAGCCACAACAAACTCAGTCCCATAAGTAGCACACTCACATAGTGGGCCAACCAGTTTGATGATAAAATGGTTTCTGGAGTCTGCCTTCCCCCTCGTCGACTCGACTGAGGCAGCCGTGGACAAAGTGGTTCAAAATGGTCTCCTCGGACTGATGAAGTCTTTTGGATGAAACATGAAACGTTTCAACAAAAAGAAACCTTCCAGAGGACCTGACTTAACGTTGTTGGATTTTTTTTACCTGGATTATTGAGCATGAACTTTGATGTTTTGAACCACTTTAGCCATAGCTGCCTCTGATGAGTCGACAAGGGAGAGGGCAAACTGGTGGGCCCGCTATGTGAGTGTGCTACTTGTGGGACTAAGTTTGTTGTGGCTTCTCAGACTGATGAAGTCCTTTAGATGAAAGACGAAACATTTCAACAAAAAGAAACCATCCAGAGGACTTGACTTTTTTGTGTCAACAGTAATATTTAGGATTATTTTCAAGGTAAACTCTTATCATGAGACCATATTTAGGAATGGTGGTTATCCTAAAAGGTAGAATGTTCCTTCCAGGAGTGAGATGAATCGCTGCCTCAAGCAGAGGATTTCAAGTTTCTGGGAGTTGAGAACCATGGCTGTAAAGCAGATTCACAAAGATTCAAATCACCCATTTTCATTTGACGTATGTAGCTGTGGAACATATTAGCCTCTTCCTGACGCTCTGAGGATGCCCCGACCTACAGATACTTTAACATGAATTCAAAGCATTTCTTTTCATCAGATCCAGATTTAATTAAAGGCAAAGTTTAAGTAAGAATATAATTTTAAATTGTGCGGTTTGATGTAGTCACCTCAGATGCATCACATGGCTTCATCTGGCTTCCAACATATCTGAGGGCAAAGATAGACTTTCAGGATTTTTCTTTAGCTCTTCTTCTAAGTGACTGCAGCAAAAGTTGAATTTTCCAACTGTGCTGAAGCTCAATGTTGGTAGACAAACTGGTGAGGGTTAATCCATCCACCTTCCAGGTTTTCCTAGAAAGTGCCAGCTTCAGTGCAACCTTTGGGGGTTTTATGAACAAGAAAATATGATATGTGAAATAAGTCATTTGCAAAATTGCATACACATCATATCAGCTCCAACAGTTATTTTACTTTTTGCACCTTTAGGAATTAACATCACAATAAAATCATAAGTTCTTGTTTGAATGGGGGGGAAACTGATTACAGATCAAACACATTCTTTCAACACCGTCTTATTAAATTAGTTCTGACATTATGCAAACTCTTAATTTCCTGACGGCTAAAAGTCAAATATTTTTCTAGCGTGATTCTCGTTCCCTTTTCTTTGCACAGAAATCAAATAATAAAGTTGTTTATGAAAAGGCTGTTTGCTCTGGGTGTGTTGCTGTGGTCATGGTCTTGCAAACTTTCTGAGACTCCAGCTGTCTGGACATGTAAGCTTGTCAGGTTTATATTAAATCGTGTAGACATGAAACTATAAACAGATGCAACACTGGTTTGGAAAACAGACGTAGAACAAATGTTTTCTCTGTTTCCTGAGAGTTTGTCAGAACTTGACTTGAGGCAGAGGAATGGAGACCACATGAGTTGTTAGTAAATACATATTTATTTTAACACAAAGCAGATGAGACGCAAACAAAACTAAACCAAATACATCTAGCTCTTTCACATTAGGTGAACATCTCAGCAGACTCCTGCAGGAAAAGGTCTGCAGGAGTCTGCATTTATTCCTGCTCACATCATTTTATAAAGCTGTCTTCTAATGCAAATGGGCTCCGTCTTTATGGCACTCCATCCTGATATTTATTATGGACAGTTGTCTCCCTTTATGTTTCTCTTTTTGTTCAGGTTTAGCAGCAGATTCTCGTTCTTATTTCCATCTAAACATCTTGATTCTACACCAGTGACAATTTTAGCCTCTTTTGGGGGGGTGCTCAAGCACCCCTAAGTTTTAACTCAGCACCACTGAAAAATAAAGAAACCACCATTAGGATTTTGTAAAGGAGCTTAGTTCTCAAAGTTTAGGTTCACAGAAATATTGAATACATTTGAAATATATATGGAATAGCACTCTTAAATGAGCCAGTAAAATCTATTATTTTTTTAATGAGTCAGATTCTCAACACCATCTGTCAATCAGTCCAGTCAGAAACTGATCAACTGGCAGCCTCAATTTGTCCCGAAGTAAAACACCTTTTACCTGCAGGAGTCACACCCTCTTTTCTTCCAACAACATTGTTGTGGTTTTGCATTATGAACGTTTTGCGGTTATAGAGATTTTGTGAAAAATCATGGGGGGAAATGGTTAAAAGTTGTCAGTGGCGAATGTGTAATTCATAAAGCGTTACCCTGATCGTTAATACAGTTTATTTAATTTCCAAAACCTAAACAGAGTCTGGAAAAATGTAATGGATGAAGGCCAGCGATCGACCCCATGATCAGCTGAATATGACAGTGATAAACAGTAGTGGTGTAACGGTAAATGTGGGTGTATTGAACCATTTCGGTACAGCATGTTTGGTTCGGTCCATGTGCGTACCATTTCGGTTATTTTTTCACTCATTAAATTTTATTAACGAGAGATTATGCACCGCGGAACTAAAGTTCCTACGCGTGTTTCAGCACGGCACTATTAATTGTTGCATAGCCTTGCAGCACGCGTAGCATTAGCAGCCTAGCATCTTGTTGCGGTCTCCTGTTTGGGAACATTATGGCTTTCTTGTTAAAAGACAAGTGAACAAATCCAAAGCTGTGTGTCGACGTTGTTTCACGGAGATTGGAGCTGCCGCAGGCAACATGTCTAACTTGTTGACGCACTTGAAACAACATCATCCGAACGTGAACAAGCAATAACACAAGGTGTACGAGGTTTTAAAGCTCTGGATCTACGTCCGTATTCTGTTGTTGATGCACAGGCTTTAAGCTTTGATTAAAGTTCTTGAGCCCTGCTACC